TATATATATAATTTACTAATTTGTTTTTGGATCAATTTTTAAATTACACCAAATGGATTTAGTCCCCGAAGTAATTGCTTGAAGAAGTACAGCACAATTGGACATTATTTTTCATTGAATATATGCATATCAATGAGATTTTAGAGGCTGGAGTTATTCTCATGTGGGAACACAACAGTTTGTTGTGCAATGAATCTCCTTATCTGTCCCGCTGTCTCCGAGCGCAGGGCTCACACTGGAGGAGAAGCAGCAGCATTGTGCTCGCGAGCCGCCAGAAGCACAGGTGGTAGCAATATAGGCCAGTCCCCCAGGCTCTTGTATCTGAAAGTTGTGTGTCTTGTATAGTGCCTGTGTCCATATGGCTGCCTGTCTCGCTTTCTTTGCAGGCACAGCCTCCACACAGGCCGCTCTGTCTCAGCTCTGATTGTGGTTAGCTGTGGTTCCACGCCTCTCGCCATATGGAAGATGTTGTAAAGTTTGTTTTTCAGGGATGTTCCTGCTATTTAGACTGATTGTACCAAGCCATACGCTCCCCAAAGATGCATTCTTGTCAGCCCCTGGTGACATGAATTGGTCAGGAGATAAATTGGTACCAGCCGGGGATGTTTACAGTTTGTGCGCGGTGTGAAAGTAGGGGCTTTCATAGTGTGTTACAGACTCCTCCAGGTGGGCTGTGGGATGTGATGCAGCAGCATCTCAGGGAGCCCCCTAGCCGTCTGGATCAAAGTAAATTGCAGCATGGCTCAGTGATACTAAATAATTATGTATTGATTTGGTTTGGCTTTCACAACAAGAGTTCCCTCATTTAAAAGCAGAGCAAGTAATGATCACACAGGTGAACTGATTCAACAAGGCCCGGAGTTCACAGATCAACTAGAAGTCAATATTTTCATGTGAAAACAAGATACAGTACACAGGATTCCTGCGCATGCTGCAAAAGTGTTTATTTTGTTTATTTGTAAGATCTGGAAAGGTTAAGAAAGGAGGAATAAAGTATGGACAAACATTTGAGTTTCCAGGCGTGTTTATTACATTTTTAAAAGGTAAAATGCTGGATTTCTAAAAAAAAAAATGTAATAAATTATTCAATATCTCATTAAAACTCCAAGTTACTTCCAAAGGACAGTAAATAAAAGACATGTCAAACACTTTGTAAACCTCTCCAAACATTTTAATTTGCAGATATTTTTTTTCACAAACTGCATGCATATTGTCCATCAGAAGGCTCTAATGCATCAGTTTGATTTTATTTTACACTATAGCATAATTTTAAATAAAAACCCATCTTGTTTTTAGAAGAAGACTGTGATTAAAATCATTAAATAGATGATTCATAAATGAATTGAGGTATTGTGTAGAAGTTATAAACAATATCTTACCTGTTGTAGATTCCAACCTGACTAATGAGCTAATGACAAATCTGAAAGCAGCTAAGGTCAAAGTACACTGCTCCTGCCCTTAAATTGTTCTTATCTTTGAAATTTCATTGTTGTTTTTTTAATTTAATTTTTTTGCAAACCTGTTCCATAAACCTTTACACTGCTGGCAATTTGTCATTTTATGGTTATTTTAATTAATTTCTGTGTAGTTCCAGCTGCATGTAGCTGAAGCACCGC